TCCTACCTCCTTCCTACTCCCGCGGTTGCTGCGACCTCTTCTACCGCAGCACCCTCGCAGCCTGCCGTTGTTGCCACCGCCACTCCCTTATGCGGCCCGGGCGCACAGTCAGCTGCGCCCCTTTCTCCAGGACCTGCGCCGACTTACTCAGCCGTGGCACAGGCCCCCGCTCCTCGATCCCCTCGCCGCCACTACGGTGGCGCACCACTCATCCGCTTGTCGGACATTGCCTTGTATGACGGTACAGGCATACGCGTGTCTCGGTGGCTGCAGTCGGCCACCCGCACACTCCAGCTCATGGGCGCCACACCCGAGACGTGGGTGGGTCACCTCTCAATGCGCCTGCGTGGCGGTCCTTTCGAGGCCTGGGAGGATTTTTATGCCTACTCCCTTCATGAGGGTCGGACTTCGACCTTCGTGGATTTCCAGACGTTCCTCGAGGATCGCTTCGGAGTCCGATACGACGTGACTTACGCCTTCGAGCGTGTCGTCACTACACGCTGGTCCGGCTCTGGTGGCGCTGCCGGCCTGGATCGCCACATCCAGGTCTTTCAGGATGCCCGCCTCGTTTGCGACGTGGCGTTCCTCCCCGAGGCTGCCCTTATCGATCATTTCTTGGCCAGCCTTCCGCTCGAGTACCGCTYCGAGCTATGGCGGTACGAGTTCACATCGGCCCCACAGGCTTACGAGGCCGCCAGGGACCACTAGCGGATGCGAGCTCGTCTTCACCCCGCCTCCTCCTCCCAGCCCCAGCGCACGGGCTACGCCTCCTCCTCCTCTCACGGCACTTCCCAGCGCCGTTCCCCTTTCCGCGGTCGCCCCCGCCGTTCCACGCAGCAGGGCCGCCACTTCTCGCGCCACTTCAGCACGCTGCAGTATGGTGAGCAGTACGCTGTTGCCCCACTGTCATCTGAGGGGGACCACAGCGACGACCTCGATCTCTGYGAGGCCGTCCACTATCACTTGGAGGACTCTACCCTCCCTGCAGCTGAGCGCCTTCAGCTCGCGCTCTCTGCCCTCTCTCGGGCACGCAGCCGCCCCGGTCACGCTGGCGCATCGCCCCCCGAGGTCCCTCAGGAGGACCTCCCTCAGGGCTTCGTCCCTCCTCGTGGTGTCCTTTCCCCTGAGGAGCGCGCGGCTATTCTGGGTCGGCGTGGGTGTTTGCGCTGCCGCTTGGACGGTCATACCTCCTCGCGGTGCCCCTACACTACCGCCCTCGACCGCCACTACGCTGACCTTTCTCATCAGCGTCGTGCTCAGTCCCCGCCCGGCGCCTCACGTCCCCGCGGGGCCTCCTAGCCACGGTGCAGTGTACACCTGCGCCCTCCTCAGTAGTGGGCTTCCCGACATCTCCGTCGCGGTTCGCCCCTCTCGCTACTGGAGTTGAGGTATCGCAGGACTCGACAGAGTGTACTCCGCCCTCTGTCGCAGTACCGTCTGCACCTCCGCAGACCACCGTCTCCCCTCCTACCCCGCCGCGACTACCGACGCGCCGAGCCATTCGCTCAGCCCGTTGCAGCGAGCAGCTTGCTACTCGCAAGGACGTTGTGTCCTCTCTGCTGGACTTGAGCATGCTCCAGGCTCGTCAGGAGCGACTCACCCTCCATGTCGCTGCACTGCGTCGCCTTCTCGCCATCCTCTCTGACGCTGATCGCACCCTCCCGATCATCCCCGTACGACTCGGGACCTCCACGAGGGTGTACTCAGCGCTGTGGGATTCCGGTTCTCAGGGCGACTTCATTCACCCACACGTGGTGAAGGAAGCCCGCTTACCCACGACAGGGTCTCCGACTCCCATCTCCGTTACCCTACGGGATGACAAGACCCAGCGCTTCTTCGATCAGACGGTCACCGACCTCCCCTTCTTCCTCACTCTCAAGCCGACTGAGCGTTCCCCAGCGTCTCGTCGCCACCGCTCCTCTGCACATTTCGATGTGATGGAGACGGGGTACGACTTCATTCTCATCACTCCGTGGTCTTGTCGTTTCTGCAGCACCGAGGCCGATTGGGCGACCAACACTCTCGTTCTCAAAACCAAGTGTGGACAGACGTATCGCGTACCTTTTAAAGGTACCACGACGACACCACGCCCCGATCCTCCTCCCCCGGAGCCTTCAGTGCCCACACCATCTCCCTCTATCACTGTCACCTCGCCTCGGCAGTTCGCTCACTTCATTCGACAGGACGACGTCACCTTCTTTATGGTGGACGTGACGGATCTCTTACACTATGATCCACCCTGTCCCGACGCCAAGCTCATCCCTCTGGACCCAGATCCCCCCTCTATCTCCATGGATCCCATCTCTACTTCCGTCCCTCCGCCGTCCGTCAAGTCCACCCCGACGTCGCGCGCTGACGCTGACGCTGACGCTGAGGAACTCGCACGATATACGGCTGACTTGGAGCCCGCAGTTCGTGACCTCATCCGAGAGTACCACGACGTTTTCCCATCGTCGTTCTCGTACGCCGGCATCCCACCAATGCGTGACGTCGAGCACTCCATTCAGCTCGTGCTTGAATATCGTTTTCACCACCAGGCACCCTACAGACTCTCGATCCCCGAGGCCACTGAACTCAAGCGTCAGCGTGAGGAGCTCCTAAGACTGGGTTTCATTAAACCCAGCAACTCCCCGTGGGGTGCACCCGTCCTCTTTGCTCGCAAAGCGGATGGAACTCTTCGTCTCTGTATCGACTACCGCGGCCTTAACCGCTACACGGTTAAGAACAACTACCCCATGCCTCGTTCCGATGAGCTGTTCGACTGCCTAGCAGGCAACCGCTTCTTTACGAAGATTGATCTTCGTAGCGGTTACCATCAGATCCGCGTCGCTGCAACCGACCA